TGAGGGCATTTCTAAGGTCTGCCAAGTGGCTAGAAATGTTCTCCTGTTCATTCTGCATCTAACCATGTATGTGTCGATGGAATTCAAGCAGGGGCCGATTTCATCAAGTAATCGCCCCCGTCCTTTGTTTTGTCAGCATTTCATGACGCACTCGAACGTCTTGGGAAAGAATGCGACGCATTGAACGACACGTTAACTAAAAAATTCAACAGAATAGCAGGACAATCAGAAACAAAAAAGAGGCAGATAGTAGATGAATTTACTAAAAAAATCTTTTACGAACTAGAAGCAGGAATCAAACGAGAAAAAATCGACGTCCATGTAGCACAAAGCGTAAGAAGGCTACAACAGAGGCAGAAGAAAGGAGAGATCATTTTTCGAAAAGCGACAAATCGAAAGTATTTCATGCGAGTAAACCTGTTGAATACGTGACCAAATCTGACCAGTATATGGCGAAAACGAAAGCATATGAGAAAGTGGCAGAGAATCTAACGAACCATGTGTTTGAAAAAACACGCATATTTTTACAAAGTATGCTAGGAAATAAAGAGATTACACAATCGACATATAATAAACTAACCCCATTAGCCAGTTAGACCGCTTTACCGCACTTATACTATGACCCGAAAGATCATAAACCAGGGATACCCGTAGGACGAATTATGGCCGGAATACAATCGGCTGTGGCAAAAATATCTAAATATCTAGACAATCTTTTGCGACTATTTTCGATAAGCAACAGACGACTATGCGCTACAAAACTCATTAGATTTTATTTCCGAACTCGAAAAATATAAAATTACTGAACAAGGCCAACTAATAAGTTTTGACATCACCGACCTTTATACGATGATACCACAAGAAGGTGCAGTGCAAGCGTTGGCAACCTTGGTAGAAGAAGCAGGATACGACAAGTTAGATGGACTAGAATTAAAAACAATAGCAAAGCTCGCAAGATTTGTTATAAAAAATAACTATTTCTACTTTGAAGGTAAATTTTACCGCCAAATTAAAGGCGGAGCGATGGGAAGTCTCCGCTCACAGAGGCTAACGCATACATGAAAATATGGCAACGCATATTCGAGAGTTGCAACTGGCAGAAAACGAGCTGTATATGAGATACATTGACGGTTGCTTTATGATATCGTCATGGACGAGAAAGTAGATCGAAAGACTACTCACCAAGATCCTGCGATAAAGTTAACGTACGAAATAGGAAGAACCATCGATTACCTCTATCTTTAGAGTTAGTATTGAAGGAGGAGTGCTGAAGACAAAAGTATACTAAAAACCAGCAGCGCAACCATACTATCTTCCCTACAATAGGAAACACCCAGAACACATTAAAAAGAATAATCCGTACGGAGCGATGGTAAGAGCAATACGTATATGTTCAGCATTGGATAATTTCAAAGAAGAAACACATAAGACAAGAGTTCGACTCTTACTGAACAAATACCTATCAGTTTTTATAGACAATCAATTTAAAAGGTTATTTAGGGACATGAATGTTCTAGATTGGAATGATCTCTACAAGAACTACAAAAACATACGCACAAATCTTAGGATTAAAGGATGGTTGCAAAGCAGCAAAAAAACAAAAGAGATCAACCCTTTAGATGATGTTTTAAATCATTGTACATAAAATCATGCATCACTGAGGTTACTTTCTTAGGTATTTCAAATTGTTCATAATGCCGTAATTTTTCATATATTTTTTATCACCTTGTGCGCGCGCACTGACCTGCGCAATCCCAAAATTAACCGACATTTTTTTAGTCGATTGTTAATTGTAGTATCTGATCTCGTTAATACTCAACAAGTGATGTCTTCAATTTACTATATTTGCTACGTGAAAAAGATTTTATTTGTATTCTCGCTTAATCGACCTGTTCATTCTTTCAAACAAAAAAATATTGGACTTACAGTCCGCTTCACCTTATCAATGGTTCTACCATATACGAATGTCTGGTATTATGAACTGAACGGAGTGTGACAAGTGTGATTTTTTCACCTTGAAAACTTAATGTTCTATTCGAGTATAGTTCCAATTGAAGTTCAGATTGATCGGTATCCAAAACAAATCGGTTGTGCATTTTACAACAATTCGTTGAACGTGGCCCACAACGTCAGTAGTTGATTGAGTTATAACATCCTTGTTTTCAATTTCACGTTTTGTAACCATCATAGTTTTGTTACTACCCATGAACATATATCATGCGCATGTATGAAGTCGAAAAGCCATTTATCATTAGCAACAAACACTCCCAAATATAATTCCTTGGCTTTTTTCAACGTTTTTTTTCAACTATTTTTCAACGGTATTTCAACGGGTCTGATTTGTGAACATCTGCAATTTACATGATATCTAGATGTTCAGATATTCAGATATTCTGATATTCAAATGTTAGATATTTAGATATTTAGGTGGGGCGGAGATGAGAGTGAGTGAGAAGAACTGAAGATCGTAACATCTGAATATCTAAATATCTAACATTTGAATATCAGAATATCTGAATAGCTGAACATCTAGATATTATGTAAATTGCAGATGTTCATAAATCAGACCGGTCTCACGTCTAGCGGTTAAGGTCAATATCATGCACTGAGATAATTATTCTCTAGTCCTTTTTCAAATGATTTATTTTGTGCTTTTTATACCGTGTGACTCTGTGTTTTCGAAAGCGTCAATATAAAGTAAAAAAATAAAGTAAAATATAAGTTTTATCGATAACCCTTTTAAAATGATTTCAGACATTCTGCCAAGATAGTTTTCCATTTTCTGTTTTCTAATTGTTTTCATCATTGAAACTTACCGCATTCCTCATAGATTCTAATCAAAATTGATTAAAAACCTACTTTCTTTCTCGTTTTGCTCCGTATAATCTTTTTCTACTAATTCACTAATCGGTTCAAATCAAGAATTTATCAAGAAAGAAAAAAAGAAGAATTTTTCATTTTCTCATCTCTTTGTATACTCGGTCGTTCTCTCACATTTTTTTCCTCTCAGTTGCGTTTGAAAATGAGTGATGTAAGGTCGAAATATCACATAAAATAAAAGACAATATGGAGCTAGAAAATATTAACTGCACGAATCACACTAAATGCGATGGAAATAAGTGGTTGTAAAACAAAGTTTATTCATTAATGAAGTCTACTTTCTTTCAAAACAAATGCAAACTTCGGCCTGTAGGAACTTATTAATATTAGCATAAACGGCCTGAATAAATGTTTATCTCCATCCTGAAAGTTTAGCATTTGGAAATAACAGTTTTATACCATTATCGTTTAAGGCATCGTGTTCGAATGGAGCTCTGCCAATAAAGACATGTCTGATAGGATTACATATTGATTGTAATTGTTGAAAAGCATTTGGTTTGTTTTGTGATTCTCTTATTACATCTAACAGTAAGCGCTGTAGTAAGTATAATCTTAGAATGTTTGGTGTCATTAATAATAATCGTCTGAAATATTTATATTCCAATTGATCGAGAAACAACCACACCGAAACGATGTTTTTCAATATCAATTCATTATTCATTAAATTATCACTGAAAAAACGAACAGAAGCTTCAATAAATGTTAGTTCTGTTGCTTTTAAACATGACTTTTGAATAATTTGGAATAATTCTAATGTAAACGAAACTTCACCACAGAAAGTGATATCTTTCGCTTTGTTACTGTATAACAAAATGTCATCATTGACATTTGATCGATAATTAACGAGATCATTTGTAACATGAGAAAATCTATAGAACACATAGGGTAATGAAAATACACAATAATATTGATTATGTAGCGGTTGATTAAAACATAAAATCGAATGATGATTATTAATCCAATAAGACGATTTGTATGTTTGGATATAATCGTCTATGTTCAATGTGTTATCAAGAATTGGAATACGAAAACAAAAATGAAATACTTTCAGTTTTGTTAGTTTTGATAATAACTTTTTTTCTAAACGTTCACCATCAATAAATTCATTACTATATAAATCCAATGATAAACGCTCTAGATTACAGCAACAATGAGATAATAGCAATTCTAAATAATCATAATTAGCAGTATAAATAGAGGAGAATACAAAATGTTTTAATTTTGATAATGTCCAAGGAATATTTTTATCATAATTAAATTGGACGTCATTTTGTTCTTGTTGTTGGTGCTCCTCTCTTCCTATAATCCGCGGTATATGAATATTTACATATTCGATTGAAGGTAAATTGTTTAACAGAAGATATACATCATGGAGAGAATGTAGTTTTATTGTCAAGTTTCTAATAGAAAAACATAGTTGACTGATATGAGTATTAATGGAAACGTAAACATTATCGAAAACTAATGTTTGTAGTCGACAATCATTTTGCAATAGATTTGAACAGAATTCATTTGATACAGTTTCGTTAAATTCTCCTACATTAAAATAAATTTTTAAATTTAATAATTGTTTAAACAATTTTAAATATGATAAAAATTTTCCATCCTTTTCAACTTTCGTTATAAAAACTGATTCGAGATTCGGATATATTTTTGAATATAACGATAATGGAAAAACGGAGTCAACATTTTTATCATTAACTTTAATTGCTTTGATATAATGTTGAACTTTTGGTAAAATTGTTTGATAATATTTGTTCAACATACACTGATCGACATCGGATAAATCTACTGCACATAAAAATGGATAAATAAGATTATTAAAACGATCATTTAAATTGAAAAATGAATAAATAATATCAATAGATTTTAAATAGAGAAAAATAAAGTCATACAATTCATTTGGTAGACTTGATTCTAATGTTGATATTTCCTAGAACAAGAATATCATTATATGCTGGATTAAAAGTAATCTCTCTGCAAAAAATCGGTAAAACGAACTAGATCATCTTGGTAAATAACTCATAACTACTGCGAACGAACCTATTTCAAACTCATTTTTTTAGAGTTGTTAGGTGTTCCTTATATTTGATAAAACAAGTTGATTTTTTAATTTTGTTTTCACAAATAAAAATTTCTGAAAAAATTGACGAATCAAGCAATCGAATAGAATGCAGAAGCCTTTATCAAATACATTTTTTACACTGGTAAAATAATTGAATCATTTAGATTAGAGCACTGATTATGCTCGTTTTCGACACGACATTTGACTCTCGATACATTTTTTGAGTTTTCAATCCCTTGACTTTCGTCATGCAACAGCGTATCAACTTCTTTATTCACCTGTTTGTACCATTAATGAAGTCATGAGAAATGATTAGCTAGAGTAATGTCTATGACAATGAAATGCTCACCTTAGAGATTTTTCGATTATATAGTGTTCAAAAACTCCAGAAGACAACGTGTAGGAATGAATCTTTTATTCTGATTCTGAAATTTGACCCTCCTCTCAACTTCATAAATGCCATTTTTTGTAAGCAAATTTTCTTCCTGACAATCTTTCTACATAAGATGTTTGCAGTGTTCGCACTTATATCCGCAACAGATAGTCAATCGGAAGGTAACCGGCTCACTCCTCTTGCATAAGAATGTTCGGTTCTCGATTCTCGTGAAGAACCGGAACCGTGGTTTCTTTTTTCTGCAATCAAGCCTTTTGACTTGCCTTTATTAGTCTGAGATCATTTATGGCAGGTCCATTCAAATACACGGCGTTTTTTACACCCTCAAAGAAAAAAAGGTTTTTTGACGGACAAAGTTGAAATTTTTTAAAAGCAAAATATATAGAAATGTTGCTCTGATCACGAGGAATCGAATGGTCCTATTTTGATTGAAAACAGATAAAGTTTTCATCTTTATCTGCGCCGC